GTGTGTGTGTGTGTGTGTGTGTGTGTGTGTGTGTGTGTGTGTGTGTGTCTTCCAAAGTAAGAGATGCCAAAGCTGTTTGCATTCTGGCCTGTATTCTAACGTTTTATGTGTCAGTGTGTGTACTGCTGCAAGTTGTACTACTCCTAACTAAGACATATGTTTTTCTATATAGTGTATTTCTATTATCTCCCAGTTGTGTTCTCTGTCCCTGCATGTCTGTCTTTGCTCAAATAGGAGTTGCAGCCAGATTTAACAGTGGCAGCCATTGTTTCGCTCACATTTGTAATACTCATTTTTCCACACCCACACAAGTTAATGCAATTGTCTCGGAGTCACTTTTTCCCACAGCACTGCAGCCTACTGTGGACTGTAGTGGTGACATGTGCTCCCTCTCTCATGGACCCCAGGTGGACATTCTGTCTAATCACACGCTGGCATGCCAGTTATTATGGCTGCTTGTCCAATTATATACTCACATACAAATTGTTTCAGGGATGGCAGTGTCTTTTCTAATCACTTGTTTCTATGCAAATAAGGTTCAGATGTAGTTCAGCAACCTCATGGTTCACAATCAGTGAATATAGAGACATCCTTCCTCACAAATCTGTTTGAGTGACACTGGTAGGCCAAAGTACTAGCTCACTACGTGACTTTTGTGCCTGTTCATGTAACCCATTAAAATTACAATCATTTCAGCACCATTCATATTAATAGATAACTTCGTCCTGGTCTTTGCTGAGAAAGTCTGTCCTTCAGTGCTCTAGGGTCACGTGTGAGCGTTTCTCAATAGTCCTTTTATCTAAATGATTTTGTGACTTCTCTCTAAGCCATGTATCAGCCAAGCAAAGATGTAAATCAAATAATTTTACGGCCAATGTATAAATCAATAAATATCAATAAATGTTACAACTCCTCAAGACCCAGGCCAAGTTCCACCTGTTGATTAAAGTGAGGATGTTAAAACTGAAGCTAGCCACAACCCACGCTAAGGTTCACAAGGTGGACTGACCTTTGGTATTTCCTATTTATTTGAACTGTTTAACTGAAATAAATAACGTATGGGTTTTTTACATGATATTGTATTTGGCTGACGCGTTCATCCAAAGCGACTTACAATTCTGATTTAAGTATTCAAAGCACACTTCGACGTTTTGGCTGCTGGGATCCATCCATTTTTGAACAATGTTTGAAAAATTGGCTTTCAAACATTATCACTTTATTTAATTTCCATGGTGAAACCTGCTCTAACGTGGTATGAAAGTGGAAATACTTGGTTTCTTTTGTGAAAACCAAGATGTCATTTTGGTTGACTGAAAAGAGGGTTTCAGCTGCAACATCTGGCTGAGGTGTAGAGAGAAGAGAACTAGCCAAGCTCTACTGCAGTAGTGTTTCTGCCATCTATGACGTTAGAAACCATCAGCGGACAGTGTAACTAAAATGGTTGTTACATTTAAGACAGATATTGAGGTTTGGCAGATTCCCCACATTACATACATCATCCCATGACTAATACACCATGTGAAAATAAGTTAAAACATTGGCAAGTGTCCTTTTTAACTTGTATCTTCATCCAAGAATCACATCTAACCTTAATTGTGACATCCCTACTATTAAAGGGGCCAAACACACACACACACACACACACACACACACACACACACACACACACACACACACACACACACACACACACACACACACACACACACACACACACACACACACACACACACACACACACACACACACACACACACACACACACACACACACACACACTAGTAGTGACTGACATGTCTTGTGCTCTGCGGTGGCAGTTTGTTTTGGTTATCGGAGAGTTTGAGAAAGGTTTCTGTGCCCAACAAAGCCTGACTCTTATTGGATAGCCGCAGATGGACTGAGTGAGTTAGAGTTTTGGAGAGACCCAGAGAACAACAGGAGTAACCGTAGACTCCTACAAAGGAAAGACTTGGCACCACAGAATGTGTCAATATATTTGCGGTATTTCACCAAACCCAAACACTGCATTCTTCTCTCTCACCGGTTTTCTTTCTTCCTGCTTCACTTTCTTTCTTTCACACTTTGTTATCCCTCATGTGCGCACAGACACCTTTCTGTACTGTTCCCCAGTCACTGCACTTTGACCTGCAGCGAAGGCGTTAGACGGAAAGAGAAGAGGCAGGATAGAGATGATGAGGAGAAGAAGAAAGGCAGATGGGGCTTAGAAGGAGCGTAGGGACCTTTGACAATCCCACTATTGTCTTGCTCTCAGACAGAGAGCAGAGAAGAGAAGAATTCTATGGCAACTACAGTACTAAGATATTTCAAGTATTCTTTCTGACATTGTTTGGAGGGGAAACACCATTGTCTGTGTAACACCATGTCTCCACAACCCGTATTCTTCTATGTGTCTGTTTAACAGATATCTGCAACATGATGGTCAGTCAGCATGTCGTTGTGTCCCTGAGACACTTCACCCCAAACTGCTCCTGTGGGGATTGTCCACAGTATTGAGTATATAAGTCGCTTTGGATAAAAGCGTCTAACAAGTAACATGCCATGTAATGTAAAGTCCTGCATTCAAATGTATTAAAGTTTTGCAGAGACTTCCTTTTCTCCATCCTGTTTGTTGACTGATGGAAAAATGCTGAATAATGTAAGCATACACCAATATAAAATCACACAACCTGGGCAGAATGAAATAACAATAAAACTGTGATTCAGAGTTTTGTGTTTACTAAGAAAGATTATGTAGCGTTGGCAATTATGGAAATTGTTTCTGAAAGTATAAAAGAATGATTTTGTGGAAGAGCGACTCTTGAATAAATCAAACGGACTGCTTACAGACATCAGCGGGGATAATGTGAAGCAGAGGGGCAGCCTTGATTATTGGTTCATATGTAAAACACCAGTGTTGTGTCTAGTTGAAGGACAGTCTCACCACTCTGCAACAATAGAGCAGAGAATGACCAGCGCGCTGTAATTAGCTGTAATTGCAACCCTCTAATCCTCTGTTTAACATCTCCTCTGTTTGCTTTGATGGCTTTTGACGTTGCACAGTGCCCCACTCTCTGACCCTTTCTTTTTACCCACCGTGTCAACCGCAGTTACTATACACACCCTCTGAATGTGTATCACTTTAAATCATAGCTCCTCAGCTCTTCTTTGTGTGTATTGCTTATAAAGAAGCCTTCCTGGTGCTCAGTCATGGTTCTCCTTTATATTTTGTGATCTTAGAGCTTCTTTAAAGGCCATGCTTGTTTGTTTTGTAAGAAAGATAACTTTACAAATGATCATCTTTTCGCTCTCAGCCTTTTGCCATTTTGCTGAAACTCTCAAACTAAGCTACAACTTCCCTTCTCCTTTTATTGGGATGTTTGATTAATACCAAAAGCTTCTACAGTGTAAGGGCATCGTATTCAGTAAGTTGTTAACAAAATTACTCCTGATCTTTTAGGATATATATATAAAAGAAATAAGATTGGCTATTATAAGAAAAACACCTCAGTCTTTAAGGCATCTGCAAATCAAAGATTGTCCTCAGCTATCTCTTGACCTTGTTGTCTTCACTTCTCTCCGTCTGCCGTCTGCAGCAGATGGATGGTTTGAACTGCCAGACAGAAGCAGGCAGCAGACAGAAGGCTCTGTCTGGAAAATCACTTCTTGAAACAAATTCCTGTATGGCGTAACGTTACACAATGTGTCTTTTATAGCTTTCAATCTTAAGATAGTGTTAGCCTGACATGATCGCACAAGCAGTACAGTCAAAGTCACATACATTTTGCAGTGTTGCGGTTTCAGTGTTTGTGCTAGTACTTGTGATCCATACAATACCCATAACACAGAGGAGGAAATGTCTTCCTCTAGCAACCAAATAGCAACTATACCCTTTTTATTTGGAACTATTTTACAGTTGATAGTTAAAAGGGAAGAAATTAGTAACACAAGTGATTCAAAGGTTTTGTCAGTTTGGATGGATTTTCACTCCACTCTTTATATTTTAAACATACTTTTGTGAGCAACATTTCAAAGTAATAACTCTCATTTCCTAAGGTCAGCACTCTCTTTTATCGCCTCTCTCCATTTCAACACAACTGTTTAACCTAATCAGCATATTCTGGATGATCCACTATTACTTTTGTTGGCAGGTGAAAAATGAATGAAGTAACTGGATACACTTTTAGGGTTTCATACAGAGTACATAAGTAAGCCGTTATGGAACTATGATAGATGAGCTAATAAAAGGGTTTGTGCCTGTGTGTTCCTGCTTTCACATCTATCCTCAATATTACACGTGGAAGCTTCCTCACATACATACATACATACATACATACATACATACATACATACATACATACATTCATACATACATACATACATACATACATACATACATACATACATACATACATACATTCATACATACATACATACATACATACACACATACATACATACATACATTCATACATACATACATATATACATACATACATACATACATACATACATACACACATACATACATACATTCATACATACATACATATATACATACATACATACATACATACATACATACATACCGTTTCCCTGTAAAACTATTTAAAATGAAAAGTTTGTTTGTTTTTAACAACTTATGTAAAGACTCATTTCAAGAAGAGGACATAAGGGGAGATCCTGGGAAAACACACCATAGATTTTGAAGAAGGCTCTCTAGACGGCAGCTGAATAATGTTCAAATTCACGTTTTTATTAGTTTCAAAGCAAATGTTCTGTGTGTATTTAAGGTTCTTTTTCAGCATTTGTTCTTGTTCAATAAAGACACCCTGAAACCTGCTGATTCAGCATTGGCCTTTGTTGTGTTTTCTGAGTTTTGGCTGTGAAACCTGCACATCATAAGTAAAAAACAAACAAATTGAATTGTCTTTTCATTCACCGATAAGTACATTTCTCTGTCTGTTTGTCTCATGTGATTCTGTCTTCTTTCCTTCTTGTAGTTGATCAGTTTGTGTGCCACACTGAGGCCGTTGCAGACATCATAATCCTGGTGGACGGCTCCTGGAGTATCGGTCGGCTTAACTTCCGGCTGGTCCGCATGTTCTTGGAGAATCTGGTCAATGCCTTTGATGTTGGCATTGATAAAACAAGGATAGGTGGGTCCCTGCTACTTTCCCTCCTGAACAGATGGGTACACCATGGGACCAATATGTTCTTCTGATGTTTGTGTCTGTGTTTTATTGCTTTATTCAGATTAACCCTAATATTTGACATTCAAAATCAGTTTGATTATCATTGTTTGGTGTTTGAAGAATTGAATGAGTCGCTGTAATATAATTCTGTGTGTGATTGCAGGTCTGGCTCAGTACAGTGGGGATCCCAGGATAGAGTGGCATCTCAATGCTTTCTACACAAAAGATGCCGTCCTTGATGCCGTTAAGAACCTGCCGTACAAGGGAGGAAATACTCTCACAGGTGCTGGATCTCACTGATACTATTAGTTATTATGCTATGCTATTAATAAGTGTTCAGTTTGTTAGGAAGTTAAAAACCTAAGTTTGTTGTGATATCCTGTTTATTCATCCCTCTTCTATGCCTCCCTCTTTCTCTTTCCAGGCCTTGCGTTGACCTATATTTTGGAGAACAGCTTCAAGCCCGAGTCTGGCTCCCGTGTGGGTGTACCTAAAATCGGGATCCTCATTACAGACGGGAAGTCCCAGGATGATGTCATACCTCCGGCAGAGAGCCTGCGAAATGCTGGGGTTGAGCTGTTTGCCATTGGTGAGGGAGGAAACAAGCACACACAAAGACAATGAATCTTAGGAATAGTCACATTGTTAAAAGAGTTAAAACTCTTTGTCACTTTGAATCTCCATCCTTTTTCTTTGAACTGATCTTAGTACCTCACCGTCTGGCATCTCTAAATGTGATGCTGACAGTCATACATTTGATTTTCCTTTCCCAGGTGTTAAGAATGCTGATGAGAATGAGCTGCACTCCATCGCCTCAGAGCCAGGCGAATCTCACGTCTACAACGTGGCCGATTTCAACGTCATGAGCTCCATCGTAGGGGCTCTGACCAAGACTGTGTGTGAACAAGTGGAGCAGCAAGACAAGGACATTAAACAGAGTAAGGGCTGGGTGATACAAGAGAGGAAGCTGCTCGTGTTGTCTGACCACGTTGGAAATCAAAAGAGATAATAGTTGTTCCAAACTGAATCTCTAAGTCATTCATAGTGTTGCACAAGGTTGTCGGCTTGAAAAGTGGCAGACATAGTTGTGTAAGTCAATAAAGTTCAAATTGTGGCTCCTTTCTCACCTTCACACAGAGATGCATTTTTGTGATACTTAGTATAATAACAGTAAGCGCATGCAAGCGAGAGATATCACTTGCAGCTCTTCAAATTATACGAGGCATATTAAGATTAAGTTAAGGTAAAGTGGGTTTTTTTAACAGTCGAGTAAACTATTTGCGAGTGTAATCACTTTGGCTCTTCCTAATGCTCTTGCATGACTGGATTATAAAATGTCACTTTGAAATCACGAGCCTTGCAGCAGCTATAGTTGTAAAGTGGGTTTATAAGGAGTGCGAACCAAGTCCTGGATATTTAAATAGAGCTTGAGTGGCTAGTGATTGGGTTACTTAATGCAAAGTGTTATCGGTTATATGTGTTTTTTTTAGAGATCTTAATTTCTATAAAAATTAAGATGCAGGATGGATATCTTTTTTTTATATAGAAACCATTAATCAAGTCTTATGTGTTTTGATGATATTCCAACACAATCTCCTTTACTCAAATTTTCAACGCATGTGAGTTTTTCTACCTAAAAGTCCCTTACTGGGAATAATTATTTATAATCGTATGCAATCTGTTTCTTATCCCTCACATTTCCTCTTCTTTATTTGTTCAGAACAGATACCAGAGACGACAGGAGCCCCACTTGAGCTGGTGACATCAGAAGTCACGGCCCGGACTGTTAGGGTCTCATGGAGCCATGCCCCCGGAAACGTAGAGAAATACAGAGTGGTTTATTACCCTGCTAGCGGAGGAGAACCACAGGAGGTACATACTGTGTTTTATTTTAATAAGGACACACATATATTTACTTCTTCTAAATTGACACAATTTAAATTAGGAGCTCATGGAGTAAGCAATCACTACAAACAAATATACGACTAAGTAAAAATAAGAAATATCCATATAATTGCAAGCCCACATTGTAGTTCACTGCTGTCTAAAAATATACACACGTAGAAACACAAGTAAGATCTAAATAACACTGAGGTGAAGAGACTCAAGAGTGGTACAGAGAGGGGGGGTTTAGGCCGGGGTATGCTCTGTTTTTCATCAATGTTACTGCACCAGTGGGAGTTGCTGTATCTTGGGTCTTCTGGCAAAGGTATGAATTAAGCTCAGTTCTTCCCTGGGACGCTTGTGGCATTATTCATCCGTACCTTTCGCTCCCCTCCTTCCAATCACAACTCATCTAAACATCCCTGCAAGGGAAGAAGGCTAACCAGAAAAGTATACTCCGGCTGATAGAGGCACCTGCTTGATTTTTCCAGAACATTTGACCACAGAAACCATTAAATATTTCGCTTAGCTGGTTTTACGGGGACCAGATGTTATGGAGGGACATGTGAGGAGACCTTTCCAGCTGGCTCATCCCGGCCCTAATCTCTATCACAACTGTCATCCGTACAGTTTAGAATGAAAAATATTATTTAGCTTGAGACGTTTTGGCTTTATCCTGTTTAATAAATCAATTGTGTTTCCTTTCTTTTCCCATTTGATCCCAAACTCTCTTTCCTCCCCTCCCATTGTCATTTTTCATCCTTTGGCATTTGTTGCACCCTTTTCCCCTTTCCCTTAACCATCTCTGCACCCCATCCCTCTTTTCTGTGCCTTCCTTTCACCGCACACCCTACCCCCACTCACTCTTCCTGGACCTCAGGCGGTAGTGGACGGCAGTGAGACTTCAGTGGTGTTGCAGCATCTCAGCTCTGTCACTGAGTACCAGCTGGCTGTGTTTGCTGTGTATGCAAACGAGGCAAGTGAAGCTCTCAGAGGATCAGAAACAACCCGTAAGTTTATTTTAACACATAAACACACAATTGCAGAAATTAACTTACAAAACCTAACACTATGGCTTCAGTCAACATCTGAAATCATAAGTTTGTAATGATGGATTCAAAGTCTGACAGCCTTGGAAGACAGACATATGGAAAACGATGCCCTCATGACAGCAGGCCAATCCAAAAGTTTTTAATTAGGATCTACTAAACTAAATAGACTTGGTTCATTACTATGTTTCCTCCTTGATTGAACTGTGCTGTTGTGTGTGTGTGTGTGTGTGTGTGTGTGTAGTAGCCCTTCCCTCAGTGACGGTCCTCCAGCTGTTCGATGTGACTCACAGCAGCATGAAAGCAAGATGGGACAGTGTGGATGGAGTCTCTGGCTATGTGCTGCTGTACGCACCGCTCAGAGATGATGGAGACTTTACAGACAAGGAGGTAGTGAAACAAAGAAACACACAGAATAATACAAAAATAAAATATATTTTGAACAGAGAAACACAATTGATAATTTTAAACAGAAACGTGGCAGCTGAGCGTCTTTTTTAATCCTGTAACGTGTATATATGTGTCTTGGTTCCTAGGAAAAATTATCGGATGCAGTGACAGAGCTGGAGCTGGATGGGTTGAACCCCAGCACTGAATACACCGTTACTCTTTACGCCATGTTTGGGGACGAGGCCAGTGACCCTATTACAATCCAAAGAACTACATGTGAGTAGTGCACATGCACACATATACACTTTTTTACTCCTGTCCTCATGAGGGCTCTTATTCTGAACCTTTATCATTAAGCCTAAAAATTGATACATTTTCAACCATATCCTCACTCTGTCTACAACTCAAACTAGATCTAACAAGGCTAAAAGAAAATACAAACATACATTAAATAACATGCCCTCTCTCTCCCAGTACCCCTGAGTCCTCCTAGCAACCTGCAGTTTTCTGACATCACTCACAACTCCGCCCACATCCGCTGGGATGCCGTGCCCAGAGGGGTCAAAGGTTACCACATCCTGTGGGTCAAGACGGACGGAGGAGTCAAGAAGGAGGTGTGTGTGACAAGCGTGTCTCCATGATTCTTATGTGGTTAAGACGTCATACTTAGATATGATTATATGGCAGCATCTCCATCTGTGAGTGTGTGTCGAGATGAGAGTTGAGAAAAAAGTGAATATAGTATAAAGAATAAAAGTAGGATAGAACAAAGGGGAGATGAATTGTTAAAGATCGTTGTGATGAGTGTTAAAAGGTCAGACAATAGTTCATATTGAGCACTGGTGAGCTATTTTCCAAGCTGTAAATCAGCATGCTGTATCACTCTCTATTATCAAACAGGTATGTTCTCTTTTGGCTTGCTTCCTATCTCTGAGGGACTGTATGTGCACAAGTTGTAGCACTGCCCACAAATGTTGGTCTTTGTTGTCTACAATGTAATTAGTAGATTAGTCATTTGGTAATGCATATTTTATCATGCTGTATATTACAAAAAAACTCTGGTAAACGTTGAAGTAGTACTTTTGCATAGTTTTTTAGTCAATTAAATCATCTTATCAATTAGTCAATTAAAATGTTGTGTTCGTCAACTAAGACATTCTTTGCTCAAGGACAGCCTTAATAAGTTAGATAACCTCCTTACATTTTCACGTACGATGCTAATGCAATTTCCTTAGTGTTAGAACTAAAATAAATCTCGACCAACAACATGATTTAGTGGATTTGTGGCCTTTTTTAGGTAACTGTGATTAAACTTGTGTTTTTACACAACCCCATACTTTTCTTTGTGTGTTTCTGTGCTGTGCAGGTGGAGGTGGGTCCTGTAAACTCCTACGACCTCAGTGAGCTGACGTCTCTGAGTGAGTACTCAGTGGCCATCTCTGCCCTGTACACTGAGGGCCAATCAGAGCCGCTCACAGATGGATTCACTACCAGTAAGTCCCTTTTTCACTGTAAGGATACTTTTAGAGGACACCATGGAACTTATTGCCTATGCTGAATACAAATAACGGCTCATTTAGTTTAACCAATCGTTGCACCATTGGTTATTAACGATCAAGTACATTTGTTCATTTGTTTTGTTTTATAATGGCTTCTACTTTGTCTTCCACATTGGTGTTTCGACATTTCCCATCTATGCTGAGGACAATTTTGTCTCAATTTCCTGAAGTAGTTGTACTAATACCTTTAGAAGGCAAACCATTTCTCTCTAAAGTGGCAAACAGCATTGCATTTGATTACCCCTGCTGGTCCTGTTGCTGTTTTGGCAGTCTGCCCATCTCACTAACACCTCGGCATAATGGCCCAGTCGCATTAAAAGGTCATTTTGTTGTCCCTTTACTATTCCGTCACGCTGACGGATATCGATTTGTAGGAATATCCCTTTAAGCAACAAGCAGTTGGGCTCTAATGCTGAGTCGGCTGAAAGAAATGTATTTTTTGCAATATTTAACTTCTCACTCTAAGGGATGTGTTGATTTGTATTTATCTCTTGGCAAACTTTGCTCAGAGATCGAGGTTTAAGAGAGGGAGCTTCATTAACCAACACAAATGTGTTAGCACTTTCTAAGAAGAATGATGGACGAGCATGATACGAGTTTATGTCCTGGTATCCAGAACATTTTGGAAATATAACAAAGAACTATAGGGAATACACATTATTAGAAATCATATGCACATGACGATTAAGGTAAAAAGTAAACTCTCCCTCTTTGTGTCTCTCAGCCCCGGTTCCTGGTCCTTTGGATCTTCGCTCCAATGATGTGAGCACAGACAGCTTCCAGGTCAGCTGGGATCACTCAGCCAATGACATCTTCCTCTACAGACTCTCCTGGGCCCCGTTCATGGGTGGCGACACAAAGGAGGTCAGTACCAATAACATATGATATGTAAAGGTGTCTGTTTTAAAGACATTTTCCTTGAAGATTACTCACAAAAAGTGGCAGTTAAGATAATCTTCATTGGCATGTTAAAAACACCACAGGCATGACACTTTAAAGCTGAGTCCTTGGCACAACTATGAGCTCACCACAAAATATATGTTCACTTCCTCAACCCCAAAGATATTACATCAATATATGACTTAGCGTCAAAAGCTACATAACGGTTAAGGTACATAACAAATGAGTCATAAAAAACCAAGCAATATTTGATAACTATGTCGATCGTCTCCGTACAGGCACTGTTCTCTCTGAAATGTAATATTTGTTGTGTGTAATTTTACCTTGTGAAGAAATCAATAATAGAAAGTTTAAAAAAAAAAAAAAAGCTACATAACCTCCATGGGTTTTGATTTTTTTAATTTAGCCAGGGGTCCACTTGTTATCTTGCTTTCCAGAGGTAGAAGTGGCTACACTCCATTTACTCAGATAAAGGGGTGCCAATATCTATAGGCCTGCACATATAGTAAGCACTCACTGCACTGGTAGCTGGTAACACCCCTGGCATGAGTGTAAATAAAGGCTGAATACATCTCGAAATTAACAGCTAGGGTGTTTTATTACCATGATCTGGGGTTTGGAGCCAGCTGTGTGGCAGAGATAGAGCCCTTAGGTCTGTAAGAGTGTGTGCGTGTTTGTGTGTGCATGTTGTGTGAGTGTGTCTGGGTATTTGTGTGTTTTGCTAAGAGTCATCAGAGCTGAAAATAAACTCAGGGGAATTGAAGAGGTGGGCTGGTAATTCTGAGAGAAAGGGATACATGCAACTTTTCTCTGTCTCTCACCCACACACACACACACACACACACACACACACACACACACACACACACACACACACACACACACACACACACACACACACACACACACACACACACACACACACACACACACACACACACACATACACATACACATACACATACACACACACATATACACTTTTACATCCTCCACCGACCACTCTGTATTGTTTTATCTGAAAAGGCATTAAACATAATAGTCGAACAAACAGACAGACGAACAACAGAGTGAAAAATGACCCAGATTGAAACTTTATGATAATCCTTCCATGCGAGGAAATTGAGTAAATCGTACCATTGTTTATTATCTTGTTTTGTTTGGATTCATTAGTTTTACTAGCATCCTGACACAGTTTTCAAATCAGATGTTTGTGTTCTTTGTTAATCAATAAAACGTCTGTTTGATTCCACTCTTTAATCAGGCGAAAACACACAGGGGGCAATGCTGGAGCACTAAAGATGCACTTGCTCCTGGGAAAGCACAAATGGCCGGTCCCACGGCTGAGATGTGCATGCAACTGTGCCTCAAAGGCCTCTGTATAGAGACTAATTCAGGCTGCGCTTAACATGGTTATTGAGTCATCGACAGTAAATTCCTTTTTCAATGTTGCTCTCCATGGAAACACTCTGCACTTGTGATGACCTCTTTGTGTTTATCTTGGGGCCTGACTCAGTTTTGCTTTGGACAAATAGTGGTTTGGACTTCCGCAGCAGCAGTTGATCCAACTGGCCACGCTGTTATATTCAGGGGAAACTACACATATCTGCTGACTCCTATAGGGAGGATAGCTTTGCCAGTCCTGCAATGGCCTTATTCTAAGGTTGGTTTTGTTTAACATAACGAAAAGTATAATAAGAACATCCAACTTATAACTAAAATAATGTCTAGATTCAATCATTTATTGAATGCAGTATTGCAATATCCACATACACGTTTAAGAGAAATAATTTAAAAAACATTCCCTCTGTTTTGAGCACTGAGGTTTTTTTCTATATTTTATGTTTAACAGCATCTCCTAAAACTCAGGGAAGACCTTGGTTTTGAAAGTCTGGTGATATACTCAGAGTACAAAACCCCCCATGAGACTTTTAGTGAATGCCCAAACTTTTTTTCACATCTTAGGGATTACTTGGGAAAGTTCTTACTTATTTTCTTCGAGCAAATATAGGTGCACAAAACAAAAGATGGCCTAATGTAAATGTTTGCAACACATTGTGGAACACAACATGACGGAAAGTTATTCAAACGTTTTTTCAATGAAACTGTTTAAAGTTCAGTTGATGCAGCAAAGACTTGTACTGATATTATCAACCCCTATTCAAACTCTGAATGAAAGTGTGACAAGAAAATGAAGTGAAAGATTTGTTACATGATGTCTGAAACAAAATGAGCCGTTGAAAATACTAAACAGCATGAGCACATGTTGACAGTTCTCGAAATATTAGCCAACAACTTTCTTTTGACATACAGCAGATATGGTTGGAAGTAACATGTAATAAGAGAGTAAGACCTGTGTGTGTGTTTCTCTTCTAGGTGGTCTTGAGTGGAAGTGATAACAGATACATCCTGACTGGCCTGAGCCCCTCCACTGAGTATGAAGTTATGTTGACGGCTGTGTTCAAAGATGAATCTGAGAGTGACACCATCTCTGTCATAGAGACCACATGTAAGTCACATTAGACTGATTGATTGCTGCGCTGTTTCTAAATCAGATTGTTGTAGTATTTGCTGCATCTTATTAATAAAAAACTAAATCAGAATCTTGAAACTTTCAAGACAAAAACCAGAGAAGTGAGTGCAATTTCAAAAATTAAAATCCCCTTGGTTATGTTGTAAATTAGCCTGTAACCTAAATAACCCTCTTCACCTAAGTGCCACTGAGATCAGTCCAATCACATTTTCATTTCATTTCAGGATCATTTCAGCGTGGCTCTGCATGAGCCCTTTTGCATTGATTTGTTTGTCAAAGCTTATCTCAGTGGAAAAATAATCTATTTTCCGCATTAATAATTTGTGTTTTTCTGTCTAATTACTGTAGTTATTGAAACAGAGAGATGTTGAAGAGAGGTTCTATTGAATTATCTGATTAATGTTCTCTTTTCTCCTCTCAGTGGTCAGGACGACAACAATGTCTACTACAACAGCAGGTAAGAAGCGCTTTTGTGTAACATTACAAAATGTCAGGAGAGAAAGTGTCACAATCAATGATTAAACAGTCAATGAAAAAGTGAAGACACGATTTGTCATGTCAAGTCAGATTCAAACTGTGCTTGGTGGAACATTTCTGGGCAACTCTTTTGCTTCCATGTGTCCAGTGGGCAGCAGACAAAGTTGTACTTGCTTCAAAAAATGACCCGAGCAGAGAGGCTGGACACATTTCAATCACAATTCAAGCCAAGACATCTGTGTAGAAAGTGTAGTGCCATTGACGTATGAAAGGCTCTTTCCAGGGCGTGCTGATGTTGCCAGAGTTCAGGCACAGTTCTAGCAAGTTCCCGTAGCAAAGTTTGGGTTTGGATGCTCATTTAGTTTCAGGAAGCAAAACCAGAATTACTGAGAGCTTAGAAAAGCTCTACCCTGTCTGTTCTGGGTAAGGTTGATGCATGCAGTACTGAAAGATTGATCACATTTGCAAGCAGGATTTAGTGTGTTTACCAAGTTGGCGTCACCCAGAGACTATACTATACTGTAGTTCAAACGTCATCATCTCAAGGGTGACCTGCAGGCCATCTGGATTGTGTTTCGTATGAAGAACAGGCCACAACCAGTAAAGCTTTCTTTCACTCAAAGCTTTAAAACACAACATTTCTTCTTTATTTAATTCCCTGCCCACCATCCTATGAACTTTAAAAAGACCAAATCACAAGTTAAAGCCGCCAGCGATTCACCTCCGTTTTATACAAATCAATGCTTTTAATTCAAGGCTGCAATCTGTATGGAGCTCTTACACTGATTTGCATCCACCCAGGACTGCTAAGTCCTTAAAAGAATGTGGATTCATCTTCTTATTGTAGACACATGCATTTCCAAACATTTGGACTACCTATGTTGTAAATGTATTATCTTTTCAATTATACACACGGCATCTATTGCACGTCTGTCCGTCCTGGGAGAGGGATCCCTCCTCTGTTGCTCTCCCTGAGGTTTCTCCCATTTTTCCCTTTAAACTGTGGGTTTTCTCCGGAAGTTTTTCCTTGTACGATGTGAGGGTCTAAGGACAGAGGGTGTCATATTGTCATACTGATATTCTGTACAAACTAAAGTCCACTGAGACAAATGTAATATTTGTGATATTGGGCTATATAAATAAACATTGATTGATTGAAAATGTCTTTAAAACCATTTCAAACTCTGAGTTGTGTTCCTGAGAAAAAAAAAAAGCTCCATCTGGCAAGACTTAACCGCGACTTGAATTATCCAGCTCATCACAGCAGTCTGAGCATATTGGCACGTTGACATTGCCCGCTATGATTTTCTTTAAGCATTTTGGCATTCTGACTGAAACTCTTCTAATCCACAATTTATTGAAGCACATTAAGAGTTGAGAAAATGTAACTTTAGCCAACTTCTAACTCCCTGTTGTCTATGATGTGGTGTGACAGTGGCACGCCATGCTGCGAGGAACCTGCAGCTGAGTGACGAGACCACCCAGAGCTTAGAGGCATCATGGGAGCTGGAAGACCCCCTTGTGAAAAGCTACAGAGTCTCCTATGCTGACCTCAGGGGCGACCACGAAGAAGAGTTTGTGAGTTGATCAAGCTGCGGCTGTAAAACTCAATCTTTCACAAAGAATAAAGTTCATGTAGAGGTGTCAGTGGCATTTGCTGTATGGGATCTATGGTTTTGGGCAGAGTGATTTAATGAAGAGCTATATGTATATCCCTGTGTATAGTTTCTAAAGTCTCCCTCCTTATGCACATTCACATAAACAAACTAGTTCCCTGCTGAGTTGTGAACACTGAGTAAACTAAACAGACGACACTGGAGGTATATTTTGAGGAAGATCCTTAATGTTTCACACCTCCACCCAACTGGATGGTGATTTCAGCGGTCAGTGAGGGGTCATCTGCTCCAATCAGAAAACTGATTACACTTTTAGTCCCGGTCTGCTCAGCCTCATCTTCCTGATTCCTCTCTCTGTGGTAAGAGCCCTTGAGCTCAGTGCCATTTTCTGACCCTGATCACACACACACACACACACACACACACACACACACACACACACACACACACACACACACACACACACACACACACACACACACACACACACACACACACACACACACACACACACACACACACACACACACACACACACACACACACACACACACACACACACACACACACACACACTCACTCTGATTTCCCTCCCTCTGTTCTTCTCTCTTGTCACCTCCCCTTACTTTCCCCCCCTCTACTCTCTTCCCCGGCCCCCTGTTTTAATTTCCCAATGTGGCGTCAGAGCGGTAGAAGATGGAGAGGCCAGGCCAAGCCACAAGACATTCCATTATCTTTTCAGCAGCCATTTACCGCACTGGGAGCAGAAGAAAGAGCAAAAGAAAGTATAGCCGAACAGAATGGGAGAAAGTCTTAGACTTGTCTCATGGTTGATAGATAACAGTTTGTTTCAGGTCGCGCCCTTTTCCCAAAGTTTGTATTTTTTTTCCCATAGTGGATGTGTGTTTGAATACGCAGGTTGTGTGTATTTATGAAATTGCAAAAGTTTGTATGTGTGCAGGTGTTTCAGCACCGCAGTCAGTGGACAGCTCCTCTCATCTCATTGGCTATGAAAAATGAAACTGGCCTTCTCTTGACGTACATGTATCTGTCTATCCTGCTCTTTGGCTCCCTCTCTGACACACACACACACACACACACACACACACACACACACACACACACACACACACACACACACACACACACACACACACACACACACACACACACACACACACACACACACACACACACACACACACACAGTAGTTAAAAAGACAGATGTGCGACATAAGCCCTTCTGGTGTGCATATCAATGCATGTTTCCGTTTCCAACGGAGAAACTTAATTAAATATGAAGCCAGAGAAAGTTACTTTAATTTTTGGTCATATCTTCATCTTCGTCACAAAACGTATGTTCAATGAATGCATTGTATAGCTCGAGTTTAAAGCCAACATGGACAATGCCTTCTACAAAGTGCTCAGAATAAAAGACGTTTACGTTGTGTAAAACGATTTGTATACAATGGGAATGCCAGTTTTATCAAGTTCATTTTGTCAAGTGTCAGTCTACTAAATATTATTTTTGCAGGGCACTTTGTTTGACATGAGATATACCTTATTTATACAAAGGATTCTTTTAAGAAACTTAAACAAAGATTCAGAGAAAGAACAAAGTTCAACACTTATAAATTAAAACAAAGCTGTAATGGGTTTTCCTGCTCTTTCTTCGACACTGTTGGCCTTAATTGACTTTATCGACTAAACTGAACTGAGCAGAATTCTTGAACAGTTGTGGTTGAAACCCCTGAAGCTATGCAAGCACTTTCTGTTTCACCTAATTAGGTCTGGCCTTAATCTTTGTCTCCATATGTCCCTTTAAAGCAGCAGAGAAGAGCGACAGATTCTGTTTGCAGTCTGCTATATCAGGCATGTAGAGTGTGTTGAGTGTGTGTTCACAAGCACACAAGCTCTTACACAGCAAGCGTGTGTTTTAGATGTGTCTGCCCATGTGTGTGAGGCAGTTTGCAGGTCTGTCCTTAAAGAGCAGAAAAAAAGGTTAATCATTGGGTTTTTTTCATACGCCTGCACGACACCTTCCAATGTGCCTTTAATTTGTATTTGTGTGTGTGTGTGTGTGTGTGTGTGTGTGTGTGTGTGTGTGTGTGTGTGTGTGGTGTGTGTGTGTGTGTGTGTGTGTGTGTGTGTGTGTGTGTGTGTGTGTGTGTGTGTGTGTGTGTGTGTGTGTGTGTGTGTGTGTGTGTGTGTGTGTGTGTGTGTGTGTGTGTGTGTGTGTGTGTGTGTGTGTGTGTGTCTGTGTGTCTGTGTGTCTGTGTTTAGGTTGTAGTTCCTGGTGGTCAGAGGAGAGCAGTGCTTCAGCCTCTTCTAGCAGATACCCAGTACAAAGTGACGATCACACCTGTGTACACCGATGGACAATATGGCATCAGTGTATCTGCCACGGGGGCCACATGTAAGCATAACACACACACACACGCACACGCACACGCACACACACACACACAGTTATTATCCCAGGGGTCAACTCTCGGTTCCTCACATTTTCCTCATAACAATATGCGAGTCCCAGTTTAAGTGAACACATCTGGCAATACCAAAAGCTAATGAAAATAAATTTTATTGCAGCGAGCAGAATGTTCATTTGCACTGTTGCATTCATTTCATGTTCATTTACGTTCCTGAGGGAGAAAATGAATTAAAGCTATGACAAATACTGGTCTGTTCCTAATTGTCTCAATAAAGGCCATTCATAATTACAGCAGCTCCCTTCATTAACGAGACAATTGAATTATTTTGCTCAACGCTAATTCATTTCTCCAACTCTTGATAACCTCTTATTAGCAGTAGTGATTGTCTCCTCGCTGTACAGAACATTGAAATTTCAGACAGAATATGTCATCTTATAAGATGAGGGTACTATAATAGCTCGCAATATTGCTAGACCAATCCGTCCGAGCTTGGAATGCTGCCTAGTCGTAAATCAGAGCGCAGCCACACTTGGATATACAGTCAAACATGATCATTTGGTGATCATTTTTCTAATGGAGATCAATCTTCTCTCTTTAATTAAGGTCTACAATATTTTCCAACTTGATAACTCAAATTCAACCAATCCACAAAAAACTGTTAAATAAAGTTGTGCTGCTATGTCAACATAAATTATATTTCATTAGTGTGTTGAAAGATATAATTATATGAACTAATTATATACCGAGTGCTATGCCTAGTTTTTTATTGAGACCAATAACAAAGAACATGATTAGCCCTATGAAGAATCTGTTTCCTCTGTCAGCACTGTTGCCGTTGTTTGTGCTGTTCATGCTGTTAGCATCTTTAGCTGCTAGCCTATAGCTCAGCTGCCTTTGTGGAAGCAATCCTTTAATCATAGATGTATAAAGCTTTTAGAAATGTGAATGTGTGTTCAGTCTGTTTCCTGCAAAAGAGGGCTTGTTATTTAAACAAAAAAAAAGGATTGCTTAAGTTTTTATAACAAAATTCAGGCAGTGTTTCTGCACAAGTATCAGCAGTTTCTATGATATCAAGCCCCATTTCATACACTATGAATACCTGAAGGAAATGCATGTGACACGTCTGTTAGAGACAATGTATTTTGCAGATGTAACCATAGCTTATTTTGGTTTAAAACACATTTACACAGGACATCTTTGAGTCAAGTTTTTGAGATGGACCTCTGTGTTCTGATTTTGTTTGTGTTTTGGCAGTGCCCCTCCTGTCTCCTGGAAACCTGCGTGTGTCAGAGGAGTGGTACAACCGCTTCAGAGTCACCTGGGATCCCCCTCAGTCTCCTACAACAGGGTACAGGATCGTCTACCAGCCTATATATGGTATATAGATACACACACACACACACACACACACACACACACACACACACACACACACACACACACACACACACACACACACACACACACACACACACACTGAACACTGTTAGACAGCTGTGAGTTCTTTATTCTTTTAAGGTAGTATATACTTCGCTCAGAGAGACAGGCTGGTCCATACATACTAATATGCTTGTTATGGGAGCCCCCCCCCCCCCAGCAACAGACCTGTACACATGCGAGATGAAAAACAAACTGCTCTCAGTGTTGGTACTCCCAATAGTGACTTCTTAGTTTCTCTTTTTAATAAGCCGCTTGAGGCATCAAGGAAACGTCAGTGATCCAGAGCTGAAATCAAATGTTTTCCTTCTTGTTTTATTTATTTTCTCGAAGCATCATCAAAAGCCCATTTTCACGGTTCTGCTGCGTCTGTAGTGCTATTTGTTTCATCCTAACAAGGCAAGGCTCCAGTATTTTAAGTTTCCATGTCTGGTTTTTGACAATGACTCTAATTTAATTAAGTCGACTTGCTGCATTCATCTGATTTTAGGTATGCATTTGAAGGTAAATGAATTTCACAAGGCTTCTGTTTTCATTGTGAGAATCAATGGAATAAAAAGTGCCTGTGTGCAAATGCCAACAGTTCCAGTGTCTGGTGGGTTGGTAAGATAATTGCTGCTTTTCTTTTCTTGTATTGGTTTTATTCAATTTGTATCTTCAGCCCTTTATAATAGGTATTGATGCAGGATTATGCCTCTTTCCATGTGTTAGGTTCTTCAAGATATCTGTGTCTAGTAAAGCCAACTCCTGCTTACAGCTTTGATGGTTCATTCCTTACATTATTTTTGAGAATATGTGCAGGTGTATGTATGCAAAGATTGTGATGCAGCTAATAGTAATGCTTTTTACAGATTGGCCCCTCAAAGTTCTATGTAATATCTTTAACAATAGGTTATTGATTTCAGACTGAGGTAGACGGAAGCGGCATGTCAAAAGTCAGTTTTGGCAGCTTAAGCAACAACACGCTGGCACATTATATCAGCTCTGTCTAGCTAGCTTATTAAGTCAGCACTAATATTAGCGCCATTGGGTTTGCTAAAAATGCCATCTCCAACTTTTGGATTGCTAAAGTCTAAGAATCATGTTCAAAGATCCAGGCTAATGCAGAATGTCCCCTTTTTCACTAGCTAATGATCAATGTAGAGAAAACTGAATGAACATTGTGCTTGTGTTGCAGTGTAGAGCCTTTCGTTATCAGTTTTAGAAGTATATTTGATAACATGTCTATATGTGACTTAAGTGATTCTAACACAACCCTTTTGGCTGTGTATATTTTCACCTTTATCTTAAGCAACATGAAGGAAAGCTTGTGGACACTTACCATGTGTATGCATGTAATGGTATCTCGGGGACATGTTGGCAAAGATGTTAAGAACCTTACAACATTTCAATTATTTATTATTAAATGTTTTTGGAATAATACAAATCACAGAAAACTACATTTGGTTTGCATTTGACATTACTTGCCTGCTTTATTATGTCAGCCTGTGCTCATGTGTGTGTTTCTCAGTTCCAGGACCAGTTTTGGAGACAGTTGTGGGTGAAGATGTGAACTCCAAGATGCTTCTGAATCTACTTAGTGGGACGGAGTACAGCGTTCAAGTGACGGCTTCCTACCCTACGGGACAAAGTGAACCTCTGCTAGTGAACTCCAAGACATGTAAGCAGCATCTCCTCTATCATACATCTGAAAAGACCAGTCCATATTTAAGAAATAGTGGTTATGAATTTTGATTTGGAAATAAACATTTTCCTTCATGGAAATTGAACCCTCTTCCTCGATTGGCACTGTTGACATTGTATAGGCAGGTCTGTAAATAGAAGATTGGAATCTCACTGTTTACTGACTAATAATAAAATAAAGGTTAATGAAAGATATTCAAAATGTTATTTCAGCTTTCACTGATAATAACTTGGTTTGCTTTTGGAGAATCATGCCAAATTCCCAAATAAGCCCTAGTTGGGACCATTACCAAGTTTTCAGTCTAAATGCGTCACAAAGGAAAGCGTGACTGTTAGAATGGAGAGGCAGCAGCAGCAGCAGAAAAGCAAACTAGTTTCACGAAAGAGGGAAATGTACAACATGCATATTAACTACCTGCTGATACCACCCGCTCTAATTTCCATTGAGACTTTGTCAAACAGACTGATAGAAAGAAGGATATGAATATTTCTCATTCAGCCAGTGAGAACAATCCTTTTTGCATATAGTTTTGGTATCAGTAGGTGCAGTAAGACCTAACACAGGCTTTAACGTCCCTCACATTTCAAACAAAGAGACTCTGAGAGAGGGAGGAAGTGAGAGAGAGATTGACTGTTGATATAGAGCCAAACAGAGAAGTGTATGTACAGCAGGGATATGTATGCATACATGTACACCCGTATTTCTCTGAACCTATTCTGTCACTATCTATCACCAAACATTTATGTTGTCTTTTGGGCTTACTGTCTCTGGGTGTGTCGGTTTAAAAAAAAAAAACCTGCTGTATCATGCCTTGCTTTAAAAATCTACTGTTGTCTTTTAGGCGTACTGTCTGATTGGCCGCAAGGGACAGTCTGGAATTGGATTAAAAGAAACATACTCTCATTTTAATAGCTCATGCATTTTTCATGCACGTTTATGCAAACAGGGATTGTGTTTTATTTCACAGTTTGTGGGTTGTTAGGCCCTCCAAATGTATCTGCATAAAACTGAACTAAAATGTCCCCTTTAACTTGATGATAAATGTTGAGGAATAAAATGTAAAGGCTAAATGTAGAGGTTGTAGTCAATTTACACATTGTCAGCAGAGAGAGGGAGATTTCCTTTGAAACACGGGTTGTACTGCAGTGATGATGTGCAATCCTTAATCTGTCCCTTAATCATCCAACTGCAGGATGAGTGACAGGTCCCTCACGCCTTTCTGTCTCTATTGAGTTCTCATCATGAAATATGCTTTCATAGGAAGATCAGGATGAAGTATGAGCCAGCCATTGACATGTAGATTCATCAGATTTATACACTCAAACTACTCACTTTTTCCCTGGTGTTGCATTTTAAATTCCTGCCTCTACCTCCAACAATATTAATAAGGCTCTTTATAAGATAATGTCCATGCATACAGTACAACATTATCTGAGTTTATAATTTCTTTATATACATTTGATCATTTTCAGATATTGTCCTATGACTCTACAATGAATACACATCAGACTGACACATTTCTGATGTATAGCACGTTTCTTTGAATTCAGTGTTCAAAGTTGTAATTTACACTGGAGGAGCTCTGATTTATTTAGGGAAATGATTCCAGTTATTTGTCATTCTAATAAATGAGATACAATAATATATTTCCCTGGATACACTGCATTCCTTGCAGCCTTGTGATGGCAGACTGTGACGTGTAAACACAATAAATTACACATAGTAGCATGCAGCGTAAAATGGTACTTATTGGTACCTCGAGGGCCATTGAATGAAATTAAACTGTTTCCCCTGAATTATGTTTTGTTCAGTTTGTATTGAGGTGCAATGCACTCCAACTGTACAGTACATATTTGTTTTCCTCGATTTTCTTGAAACAAACCTTTTTTACTTTTTTAGAATTTGCACAAAAATGAAAAAACTAAAAAGGATTACATTATCAGAAACAGGCAGAAGTGGAGAACATAAATGATGTGGAAACTGACTGATGGTGAGGAGGTGCTGAAGGGAGATTCAAGGGTATCCTAAAGCAAATAAAACTGTTAATTAAAACAAAAACATGCAAAGCTTAATGTTGGTCAAGAACCGGCCATTTTCCTGTGCAAACCGTATGTGGTGCTTATTTAATGTATTGACTACATGTTTAAATGTTCCATATTCATGTCTTGACATCTATTTATGTGCCTGCTTGTTTTTACTGACTGTATGTTGGAGTGAGTTTTTTAAAATATTTTTGCATATCATTAAATGAAATGATGGGTTGCCATACTGAATGCATTATTCACTTTTATTTAAAATAAGCCATCTGCCATATGGTCCCAGTATAAAATATCCATACACTGGTGCTGGAACCAAGATTACTTTATACCATCAGCAAATTCTGTTAACGAGGGAGGGGGCGGGAGACGGGCTCCTGGGAGATTTGCTTTCCTGTGGTACTCTGAAATCTCACTACTAAAGAAGCTTCAGCTATTTAAATTGCTTGGTGGTGTTTTTGCATTTTGCTGCATCATGCCTCATTGTTTCTCCACGAGAGTTAAACAGCGAGCCTGACAATGACTCATTTTGTCACTTTGTGTGAAGTGCTCTAACACAGCTGAATGTTGTCACAGGAACTGTCAGTATGGAGACATTTCATCCATTTCCACTTTTATTTGGTGCAATGTTCATCTTTCATTTGATGCACAAAGAGATGTGCCACTTGTCTATTTAATGCAGCTCTTATCCTAACTTTTTCAAGTTTGAACATTATAGATTTTGACCTCACACTATTGTCAGCCAGTCAGTCAAAGTTACTGCACATAGCTTTTACACCCAGTAGAGCTAAACTGACCACATTCTAGTCAAAGTGGTTTACCTGATGATATATCTCTGCAAAGTTAGACAAACGTATACCCTTTTGCAACCAAAATGAGCAATTATACATTTTTATTATTATTTTAAATAAAGTAAAAACACGCTCAAATGGGCCTTAGACTTTCCCAACCTAATTAGACAATTTATTTTCTTCTTGTCATTTGTCCCGGTAATGAATGCACATTTTGACCTTTCCCACTGAAGACATGGTTGTAGGTGTCAGTGAGTTTTTTGTCTACTGGGAAAGTGGCTTAAAGAAAGCTTTAGCTGAACCACTAATACGATGTGGAGAATAAAGTCCACATGATCCATGGCTAGAGCAAAGACAGTCAGTGCTACTTTTATGTGAGCGAGTGTCTCTTGAGTCTTGGGTCGTATAGCGGTTAAATGAGCTGGTTGGGGGCGGTCTAACCAGACATGTCACAAAAGCGACAAAAAACCAAAACGTTTATGATCATAAAATGTGCCACGTTGGTTAGAGATGAATGTTTTAGTAATGTTTAACATCAGTTCAGTCCATGTGTATTACTGTTATTAATTTGAAAGGATAGTAAAAACAATTGACAAGTGTTACAAACTTAAACTTTGTTCTGCTTCATGTTTGTATGAAAATTGATTTATATAAATAGATTTTTCTGTAATCTTTCTATCTGCCTGCCTCTCTATCTGCAGTGTTCCTGGGTGTCTCTGGCTTGTCGACCTACCAGATACGTCCCATCAGCCTGTGTGTCCAGTGGCAGCCTCTTCTACAGGCCACGTTATACAGAGTCTCCATTCAGTCTACACTCAGTAAGTTCATCTACTGTTGTATGGTCGTCTATGATGCCTGTGTGTGGGCCAGAATTCAACTCTGTTCCTAAAGGTGGTGAAAACTGAGTTTATTTCTTGATTTAGTGCTTTCATTAGATTGGCTTTTTTGTGAGAGCAGTTCTGTCCAAACGGTAACTTTATTGACATAAGGTTAGGAATTTAAATTAAGTGTAACTTTGTCATCTTGTTGAAATGAAAATCACACTTTTTAACTCCAGTTTGAAAAACTAAGTTGAATTGTTCAGAAACAAGCAGTAATGTTAGAACAGATGCACGCAGTCCACAGATGTTCTCAGCAACGTTTCAGTGTGCACCTTCACTCATCCCAGCACGTTCCCGCGTTCCACGTCGTGAGCACAAGGCTTTCGCCAGATAAGTGACTGGAATACAAGTAAGTCAGTAAATCAGTTTTACATGAGTTGTGATATTTGGTGAGGTGGGCTGGATATGTTTCATTATAGATTTACAGTGTGTCCTTGTGAAAATGTCACCACTGTTTATTATTAACAACACAAAGACCAGTCAGCTCAGGACTCTTTGGTTTTGGTTGTGATGGTAACATGTGTGTTGGTTACATATCTGGAGTCATAATGATATGAGCCTCTGAGGAAATAAGTGTTGCATATTTCTCTCACTTTGACATGGCAGTGTTGTACAGAGTCAAGGACATACATAAATATCTTCATTTGTAGAAAGGAAGGGAGGTTTGATCTCTCCCTAATAACCAACATGAGAGGAAACCGCTTGGAGAATTTCGCTTGTCATCCCGTCATAAATAAAACAGAAGAGTAAGAGTGTTCAGAGAGTATGACCTTTCGAGGTTGTTTAATCATCAGCCCGCTCAGTTCATAAATGAAAAAAAGGGAGACGGAAGAAGAGAAGAAGGAGGGGGAACAAAGAAAGACAGAAAGACCTTAGCTTTATCTACTTAAATCTATTTGAAACAAAACCCTGTCAACAGTAAGCTATTTTGGAGATGCATGATATTTGGATTGGTGGATGTACAATGCAAACAGAGACAGCAAATATCTCAGTTTCTCTATTGTGGCAATATTCTTGTTATTTGAGACCGTTTTTTTTTTTACAGTAGATATAATATAAACTCCTGCTGCACACCCAACTGCCCTCTGAGGATAAATACAAATTAAACTGTTCGCTGTGAGTGGATCTACTGTTTCTCTAAGGTTTCGTTTTCTTGGTGTATAAGCCTGTTGTGAGTTGGATGCTCATTGTTTTTATTATTTATCTGACCATGAAACAAAACCTTTTGTCTAGTCTATGTTTATTTTTTAAATGTCAGCATGTGTCAAAAGGTCGCATACTAAGCAGATCCAGATGCCTTGTTGTTGGATTTTCACCTACACAAATGCTTCAAGACATTTAAGGTGTAGTTGTTCTGCTTTGATTTCATATTAAAACACCACTATGTGATAGAAAATGATTTTCATAATGATAGTTCTGTGGCAAATTGGGCCTCCCTAGTTCATTTCAGTGAGACTACTGTGTGCACGCAGATCATGTCACACACAGCTCTGGAAAAAACCCAGATCATTTCACAGAGAGATGGCTCTGCTACTGTTGCATGATAACATGGCACACAACAGACTAATGTGTCTTAAGTCTAAAAGATGAACAAACTAGTAAACATATTTAACTGAGAACATTTCTATGTAAACCAGCTAAACGATTTTAACAGACAAGTTAAGCTTAGTTCCATAGGTGTCTTATGTTACAAATAAACCTTCATTCAGATCATTAGAGCATTTTGAAAAAGAAAGTGTTTACTTTACAACAATGTAAACACAATATCTATGAAATAGCTTTTTATTAGGTGCACCTTTTTGGCAATTGTATTCTGAGAGAAAAGCACATAGCAAATGAAATGATCGCTCAGTGTTTTTAATGGATTTTCTTCAGGGTTTCAGTAGATGATTAGTTGTTACTCTTCATTAAAACAAATGTGAGTGTCGGCTGGTAATAGGGTTTGAGACCAAAATAAAACTAATTCTACAGTAAGTGGTTTCTAAACACGTTCTTTTTACTATTTACTGTCAGAAAAAAAGGAGGAAGACTTCCCTCTTCCTTCTTCCTTCCCTCCCATAGTTCTCTATTTATCTGTGTCTCCCTGTCTTCTGCCTAAGCAGCAACTGGATATTCATGCTGGAGTTAAGAGATGTTGTTTAATCCACAGACAGCCAACCAGCTGCTCAGACACCTTCTCAGATGAAAAGTTAACGGTCTATGTAACAGCTGTTTCCCAAACTTTATTATTTATGGTAGTTTCCTGTTTGGATGATGAGCGAAACTATAGCTCTAATATAAGAAACACATTAGGAAATGACATCAGGCTAATGAAACTGAAAAATGGCACCTATTAGTACAGTTGTATGTGCACTCCGCAGTGTCCAGGTTCTTAATTTTTGATACCAATTCAAATTATTTTAAGAAGTATTTCCTGCGATGCCGTTCCTCTACGGTTTGCATAACAACCACTCAACCATTGTGAAACTGTTTGCAGTTTGCAATTCAAAGGAACTTGCAAAGAGAAGAGGAAAGAAACAAAAATTGAGATAATTTATGTCATATGATATCCTACTTTCGGTAATCCTAAAACAATGGTTTATTTTTAGTATCGATAATGTTATATTCGATTTTACACAGGCAAGCTTTTCAAATCAAATTTGAATTTCCAGATGACATGAGCATGCTTGCAGGACAGTGACATGTTGCTGCATACACCCTGACTGCTCCAATAAAGCTGCTCAGTATCAAATTGTAAACAAAATGATTACATATAGCAGCTCCAAGACTTGGATATGATGCAGAACGAGGCGGAAAAGACGGAAATGTGCTCTGTAAATACAGTTAATGTGAAACAGGAGCTTTTGAGGGAATTGAGCTTATTTAGATTGTATGGCTTTTGATCTTGAACTTCATCCAATGTAAGTCCGTTTTTGTTTTGTTGTGTCCTTGCAGATGGTCAGAGGCAGGAAGTGAGCCTGGGAGCTGGTTCTTCCCGACAGTGCTTCTACGACCTCACCCCCGGCAGCCAGTATCAGATCAGCGTTCACACCCAGATGCAGGAAATGGAGGGACCTGCTGTCTCCATCACTGACATGACGTGTATGTTGCAAAAGTTTTATACATTGTATTTACATCTATAATGTCCTCATCTCTGTATGTGTAGTAAGAACAAAGACAGACACACACCCACTCAACCCTTCATCCCAGTTTTTCACCACTTATTTTTTTGTCCACTGTCACCTCCTCACTCACTCCTTTCTCTGTTCTTTCTCCCCATACCTAATTTTCCCCGCTGTAGTCTTACCCCTATAAGTGACTGTGCTACTGTACTTGTATTTGGTATGTCTCTGTGATTCTCTCTCTCTGAACATAATGGCTGCTGCTGTAAACGTTTATTGTTCAGCTGAGTAGCCGAGGGGAACCTCACAGCTCACGGGACCTGGAGTGGTCGCTCATAACCTGTGTTATAGAGATTGATAGATTCACACTGTTAAAGTCTTTAGTGTGGAGGGACAGTAAAGAAAGTAAATGACATCAACAAAACAGCAAATATCACAATAGCAGCAAGCACATTATTTACTTATAATCACTTTTGTCAAGTCACTAGTGAAGCTGAAATACCTTTTTTTTAAAAAAAGATTCTACCTACTCTCCTGAAGTTTGTGCCCCTCTCTTAGGGCTGTTGTTGATGTTTTCAAGATGATTCACTTGGTGTACCCTGGTTTGACAGAACCAACTGCTTTCTGCAAAGTAATTGGCTTAGCACCGAGGCATACTTTAACCTGGGGTCTGTTTTTAACTTTAAAAAAGACGGCCCCTGGTCAGATAGATACTAGACTGATGAGAATAGAACTCTTGCTGTCCCTGACTTATAGGCACGGATAGGCAAGAGAGAGATATAGAAAGAAAGTAAAAAGATAAAATCTGATTGCTGTAAGTAAGTGATGGAAAGAAAGATAAACGGAGTGCAACACAGCAGCTGGGTTGCTTTAGCACACGTAGGTTGTAAGTACAGATTGCACTATAAATCTTTTCTCTGTTAAGGTCCAGAACTCAGCTGTCGAAGGAAGGAAGAGGATTATAAAAGTTTCAGCTGAACAGAAACAAGCTGCTGTCTCTCATTGTGTCTGTCAACATATTGTGTGTGTGTGTGTGTGTGTGTGTGTGTGTGTGTGTGTGGTGTGGTGTGTGTGTGTGTGGTGTGTGTGTGTGTGTGTTGTGTGTGTGTGTGTGTGTGTGTGTGTGTGTGTGTGTGTGTGTGTGTGTGTGTGTGTGTGTGTGTGTGTGTGTGGTGTGTGTGTGTGTGTGTGTGTGTGTGTGTGTGTGTGTGTGTGTGTGTGTGTGTAGTGTGTGTGGTGTTGTGTGTGTGTGGTGTGTGTGTGTGTGTGTGTGTGTGTGTGTGTGTGTGTGTGTGTGTGTGTGTGTGTGTGGTGTGTGTGTGTGTGTGTGTGTGTGTGTGTGTGTGTGTGTGTGTGGTGTGTGGTGTGTGTGGGTGTGTGTGTGTGGTGTGTGGTGTGTGTGTGGGGCACATAAACCCAAAGATGGTGCGACTTGTCACTGTCATCATGATTAATGACCTGTCTTGGTTTCTCTTCTCTCTCTGTGTGTGTGTTGTCCAGTGCCCAGCGCCCACTCTAGCTCCGACTGAACTCCCGACCACTGAGCCCCCTCCCACCATCCCACCCGCTAAAGAAGGTGAAGAAGAAAATTGAAATCACACCACCCACATATTATTTCCAGTGTATTCCAGGCGATTCTTCTTTAGTGATCTAATATTGTTTGTATGTTTACCTGTGGTCAGCCACATAATATAGTAAAATTACACATTACATGAGGCTGTGGCTCAGTGGATATGTGTGCTGGGACTTCGAATCAGGGATAGCAAGTTTGAGTCCCACTGCAGTCAGCATGTCGTTGTGTCCCTGGGCAAGACACTTCACCCCAAATTGCTCCTGTTGGGATTGTCCACAGTATTGAGTATGTAAGTCACTTTGGATAAAAGCGTCTAACAAGTGACATGTAATGCAATGTCAAATTAAACAAAACATTATATAAAGCCATGCGGGCACACTTGATAACTATCACACTGGGTAAAAGCCAGCTGTCATATGCGGGTCATCAAAAGAACATTTTTGGCTGAGGTGGTAATAACAGCTTCTTTCAACTTGACAAATAAGGCAACACTTTTAATCATAGTTCTTTTGAGTCTCAAATCTTGTTTGTTGTCAGTGTATATGTTTGAAAAGGTATTATCATATTAGTAAAGCTTGGCTCGTTTTGATAAAAAATAGAAATCAGTTGTCAAGCATGTGTGTGCAACTCTGATTGCATGTATTACCTTTAATGCACTTAAACAGCAGGTACAAGGTAATAATTGCGATTTGAAGCAAAAAATATCTGATTTGGACTTTACTTTGTGTGGAAATCGATAATAACGAGCAGATTTGCTCTAATTTAAAACATTGATTGACAGTGCAAACTGCCAGCTGTCTGGCATGATTATAAAACAGGAAAGAAAACAGTTTACTTTTAATAAGATCACTTTCTAATGTCACGTCTACTCGTTACACAGCTGTGAACTGTGTTTAGTTTCAAAACATCAACAGTGACCTGGAAGGAACTTTAGAGAGCTAACTTAATCTGGGATGTTACATTTAAGATTAGAAAAAAGAAAAGAAAAGAACCCTAGAACTTGAAAGTCTGAGTCGTTACATATGCTCATGACTTTATTGTGTGAGCTACACACCAACCACTTTTACAAGATGAAGAAATGTTACACTAATCCTGGTTTATTAACTAGTTACTTCCGGCTCAGCACAAGACACCATTCTATCAATCGGAATCTGGCAGTGTCGCTTCAACATATAGGGTACAATGCTCTTAATGTCATTCATTTTGTGCTTGCCTTGCATTGCCTTACAACTGTGATTGACAGGCGTCGAGCCATGACTCCAACTTCATGCAGATAATGTTTCAATTTTCATTGAATCACTGAAAAACTACTGTATAATCTAGGGCTGTGCAATTAATCGTATTTGAATCGCGATTACGATTACGGCTTGCGACGATTATGAAAACAGCATAATTGACAAAATACGATTATTTTGCTGGGTGCGCTTTCGCCCCTCCCTAAAAGCCCACTCGGCCACGTGGGAGTGAAATGTGTTGTGAGTGATCAGCGCGAGCGAAGATGTCAGAACAAGAGCAGCAACTCGTTAAAAAGAAGGGTAAAACTATTTCCACTATTTGCAAGTACTTTGCCTTTACATTTCACATCGCTAAAGATATGTGCCCAGTTAGCACTGTTAGCAACCAGGGCTTTAAGCAACTTGTCAACACGTTGGACAAGCGTCTCGGTATTATTTCAGCAGGTCTGCGCTGCCTGCGCTATATGACAAATGCCGTGGGGAAGTTGAGAGAGATGTGGCTTCAGCTGACTACTTTGCTACCACAACAGACCTATGGTCTAGCCCAGGGGTGCCCAACCAGTCGATCGCGAGATGTGTCTAAAAATAGAACAACAATATTCTGTTTTATCGTTAATGTCCTGTAACATAATCTTCCTGTGCCAGAATAATGCACTTGAACGCATCAAAGCTTTGTGATTGGCCGGCGTCACCCCATGTGTCGGGGCGTGGCTGAGGGTCTTCAGTACAGGTGGCAATATCGTCACCTGCCTGCGCTCATCTCTGAAACCAGACCATGTAAACAGGCTGGTGTTTCTTGCAAAAAATCTTTAAGAGATGACATGAGCAGCCCTACCAGCATTTGCCATGGTGGCCAAAACATTTGTATTTGGTCTTAAATTGTAGTTCAACATTTATTTCCTGTTACTTCTGGACCATGACGGTTGGCCAGCCTTCAACGTTTAACTGAGTGGAATATGTTGAATATGTTTTACCAAAATGTTGGCTATATGTTAAGGAGTTTTCAGTAGGTTGTGACAGTGCATCATATTTTATTTTATTTAGTCTAATTTATTTTTATTTATCATATTAATAATATATGTTTAGTATGGTTTTGGAAGTGCGCTCCAACATATTTGTTGATCTTGTTTATTGGTAAAATATTATTTGTTTTAAAGTCCAATAAATGGTCAATGAATAATCGTCAAAATAATCGTGATATCAATTATTGACCCAAATAATCGTGATTATGATTTTTGCCATAATCGCACAGCCCTAGTATAATCTATACATTTTCCAGGAGCAACAAAAAAGACATTTTGAGATGAAACAGGTATAATATTCTGACTGTGGAGGATGTTTTGAAACTAAAAAGAAAGCAAAGTTACAAAGGGGCTAAAGTCCACAGTGTGACCCTCCACCTTCTCTCCTCGGTTCCTGTCTGATGGGCTCAGGTGAAACAGCACAGCAAACTCCACAGACATGAACCGACACACCTGCTGGCCCGTCTGTAAGCATCTCTGTCTAAGTTTCTAACCTTTCTAACCTTGCCTCCATCTGTAATGACAAGCAACCTTTACTCAGCAGTACACCAAAGACAGGGGAGAGTTATAAAGGAGCAGCATTTGTATGTCTGTAAGGGGCCGAGAGATGGACTCTAAGAACAGGAGGAAGAGAATGAAACACAGTGATGGAGAGGAAGAGAGAAACAGACAGGGATTGGGGCTCCAGATAGATAACATCGGGGGAGTAGACAGTAGGAGAAACAACAGGAAGAAAGAAAATCATGTTGTATGGAAGCAGAAATAGTCAATTGTAATATCTTCACAGCTCTTATGAGAGGCAGCCACATAACACTGTGTAATCAAAACATTTTCAGACTGACCTTTAACTTGACATTTCTGACAAGCATCAGAGCGCCACTTATGAAGTTCTGTAAAAATATTCGATAATAACAGTTGGCTCTAACGAAAAACAATAACACTGGTCGGGCAGGTTTGTATGATTTCCTTTTTTTCTCCTTTCCTTTCATTTTGTTGCGTTTACAATCACAACCACTTTTCCCCTTATGCAGTGTCGATAAAGTTAAGGCTTTACTTTTTCTCGAGGCTGACCTGGTCCAGAACCGAGCTGGGAATTTAGCGTAGAACTGGAGTTTGAAAACCTGTTAAAACCTAAAAACAACTTTACATTGTTAAAGATTAGCCTGAGAAGACACCTGTGGGAGAAAGACGGAAAAGTCACTGCTTGGTCAGGAATATGAATGATTGATTGATTGAAAAGTTTATTAACAGCTTGTATATTGGGTACAGTACAGTACAGCTCAAAACATACAATTGTTAAGGGGATGCAGACCAGAGAAAGACTTTCGTCTTGTTTACATCAGGGTCCCCCATTTCCAATTCATCATGTCATTTAAGACATATTTTACATACAGGTGGTTTTTTACATACAGATTGCTTGTTTACAATTTCCATTTTAGATTTCGTTCTAATACATCCTAACCGGACATTTAAGACATACCAAGTCTACAGATATACAGTTAGTAACGGAGTCTAAAATGCGAGTATATACATAGATGGGGGGGGAAGCTGTCCATTGAACGACAGGTTGAGATTTGTACCATTACCGGGGCCAGTTTTGCAATGCTCTCCCCCGAAGGTGCTCTTTAAGAGAGGTTTTGAAGGTAAGTATAGTTTTACTTTCCTTTACAGTTGTGGGAAGAGCGTTCCACCTTGATGTGGCATAATTGCGAAACGTGTATTCCCCCTTTTTTGTGCCAAATCTGGGTTTCACATGATTTGTGGAGCTCCCTCTGGTGTTATGATCATGGTATTCCTTGACCTTTGGGAATAATTTTGACATGTACATGGGTACCATAGAGGTGTAGTGGATCTTGTAGACCAGGCCCATTGCAAGTAGCTGTACTCTGTCGTCTACTCTAAGCCATCCTAGGTTGTCAAAGTGGGCAGAGGTGAGGTGGGTTCTAGATTAAAGGTCAAGCAGTAGTCTGACCAGTTTATTTTGCGATGTTTGAAGTTTTATTTTTAGCGCCTTGGAGGTGCTATGGTACCATGACGTGCAAGCATAGTCATAGTACCCTTGAATGAGTGCTCCTGCCAGAGTTTTCAGGGTGTTTTTGTTTACCAGAGAGGAGATCCAGTATAGGAATCTAGTTCTTTGATTGACTTTTTTTATTACATTGGATGCCATTTTGTCACAGGAGAGGTTTGCCTCAAGAATAGATCCTAGGTATGTAATTTCCTTCTTACTTGTGACAATAATGTCACCCACTGCAACTGAGAAGTCGTCGGATTTGCTGAGATTATGTTTCGAACCGAAGAGAATGGACTCTGTTTTACCCAGGTGTAATGATAATTTATTATCGGCGAGCCAGGTGCAGATTCTGCCGAGCTCGGAGCTGAGGGTTTTTTCAACCTGCAACCTATTTCTGTCAGAGACCAGCAGGGCTGAGTCGTCCGCGAACAGGAACAAGTTGCAGTCACATGCTGATGACATGTCATTTACATAAATTAGGAACAGTAACGGACCTAATATGCTTCCTTGTGGAACACCACAGCTCACTGGGAGGGGGGGGGGGGGACAGTCAGAGTACCATTTACCTCCACCATCTGTTCTCTCCCCTCCAGGTAGGATTGCATCCAGCTCACCGATAGTTTATCAAAACCAATTGCTTTTAGCTTGTCAATCAGAATGGGGTGATTGACAGTGTCGAAAGCCTTTTGTAGGTCCAGCATCACCATGCCGCAGTACTTGCCCTCGTCCACC